TGTTGCTACTCTGGGATGGAGTCTTCTGCTTTCATGGCAGCACACAGACATCTACAGCAAAGCCTGTATTTATGTTCTTGCAGAACATCTCAGAAATACCTAATCCATCAACAATATAAATAAACTCAGCCACCTAAGCTCGCAGATGAGCAAGGGTGCTCTGACTGTCCCACAAATGGATCTCTGTTATCACCAGCTTCATCAAAAGCTGTGGGCAATCTGGTTTCCACCACACCACAGACAACAGCTGGGTCCCCTCTGACCTCTCAGATGTTGTGGAGGCTGGTGGGATGGTTTAACATGTGCTCTCCTCCACCCCAAAACTGTGGTCCAGAGACAATTTGCTTCCCTACTTGCTATGGGAGATGCTATGGTACTTGCATTTCAACTCTGTCTCAGTAAAAGAATATTCTCTATGATATATTTATTGTTTTAAGCAACAAAACCCACTGCCTAAAAGCCTACTGATTTGGCTGCTAATAAACATTGTGAACTGGAGCAGCATCTGAATTTCTGAAGCAGTAAATCCAGCTCTCAGCTAGAAAACTGACAGCTCTCATAAAAGAAAGAAAGAAAAAAAAATGCAAGTAAAACATCCTAAGGAAATTATCGTTCAAATTAACTGCAGACATAAATTTATCCATCTGTTATCATAAGTGTTACTTGAAAATTATTTGCCCATAAAAATGAAATAAGCCAGAGTGGATTTTTTTCTTAAACATTGACTTCATGTGTATGGTCTTAGCTGCCAAAATATTAACTCTTTTTAACAGCCCGTGTGCTCTTGGCTGTGTGTCTTTCTTGACTGTAAATGGGCCTTTATAAATTGTCTGTATAAATCATGTCTAAGGCACTTCACTGTTATTACAGATCAATAATTCCAAGTAAACCATCTTGATCTTCAAAACACAAACCCCAAGCAAATGCCGAAATTTTACTTGGAAGAGCTTTATTTAGCTACCTTTATTCATTCAAAGAGAAAAGTTAACCTGTCCATTAAATGAAAAACATCATTTAACTGCACAAACAATAACTGCTGTTTCATTCCTAGGGTACAGTTACTGTGAATACAGGTATGGTGAGATTTTCACATCAAGTCTGAGCATAGTAAACACTGGCAGGAGTGAAACAAAGTCCACAGAACTGGGTACAGAGCTAGGTCTCTTTTACCCAGCGCCTGTATTTTTCTTGGAGAAGAGAAAGAAATTAAAGTAGAAAGAAAAAATTGCTATTTTCACTTCTACGTGTTTTATAAAGGAATAAATTAAAAGTCTGAATTACTTCAACACATTTAAATAGTGAGTAAAGTCATGGAAGATGGAAAAGGCAGAAATCTATTGAAAAGTCTATTTTTTTATTTTTAAGAATGACAGAAAACCGAAAAGTTCCTTTTAGAATTGTGTAATTTTTTTGTTTGTTTTAATACTTTTTACTGGAACAAAATCCCCCATCTTTCAGCAGCATAAAAAAACTTTGCTTCACTTTATGAAAAACTGTTTTATCTCAGCTTGCTTGGATATTCAAATGTCTGTCCCCTGCCTACTCCTTTGTCCCCAGGATTTGTCTTTTGGATGTTTCACAGCCTCGTGCTGTTACAGGCCAGACTCAGAACCAGCTCTCCTATGATGCACCACAAAGTCTTTGCAGCACAGCTCTAAGTGGCACATAGTGAAATTTTAGTGGGAATCCCAGTTTACAGGAGAGCAATGACACCCAAGCACCTGGGATTATGATTGACATCTGCAAAAATTGACTTGTTTTTCCAGAAAAAAACAGAAAAAAATTATTTTCCACAAATGCCCATTTTTTTACCAAAAAACCAGACACCTGCATCCTCTAGCTCAATAGCTCCAGGCTCCTGCACCACCAGGCTGCCAGGATATCATAATCTTGTTTTTCATTTGAAGCCACTCACTGGATTTGTTTGGGGTTTTTTTCTGGGTTTTTTTGGTTCTACAATCATGGATCAGGATACACTGAGCCAAACCTGACTGCAATTTGCAAAGTCACCTGCATGGTGCCTTCTGCCTTAGTCAAGCTTATTATGCTAATTAATTATTAATTGCTACAGAGCTACCCATCCACAGCACTGGAATCTTACAATAAGCTGAGGATGCTCCAAGAGAGCAACAGAGCCTCAGTTGCTGCATGCAGCTGTGCAAAAGCCAGGTAAAACTTCACTGCAGCAGCATCCACAAGGTAGAGCTCCCTGCAGGGAGGCCACCAGAGGAACAGGCAGGGCTCAGCCTCAGGAGGGCTGTTTTCTAGGAGAGATCCTATTTCCCAGCCCCTTGGCTCCAGTTATACCTGGGAGTAACAGGATACCTCTGAGTCCTTATGAATCATCCTGCAGGGCGCAGGGCTCCCTTCTAGAGCAGCTCTGGTCTGTAAAACTGCATTTGTTGAATGGTTCCAAGGTGCTTTTCTCATAACAGGCTTATTTTCTTACTTAGAAAAACACTTATTTTCCTCATTTTATTTGACAGCACAGTTTTATCCAATTCTTCCTTTCCCAGAAACTATGACAGAGATTATGAAATTTGGAAAACAATTCATAATACACATATATAATTTAATTACTATTCATTCATTAGTTCAAATATCTTCAGAATTAAGACATTAATGCAAAGATCAAGCTTGGCATAAAGGGCAATATCTCCTGAAGCACATTGTCCAGAATATTTTTTTTCAAATTATTTCCCCTTCATCATGACAGTTTTAGAGATGCAAAATCTTAAATTGCATTGCTCTGGGAGCAAATAAACTCCCACAGACTCTATTATGCCTATCCTAACTGAAAGTGCATTCCTAAAATTTTGCACTTCAGAATTCATGGGAATATGTGAAAGTCTCAACTTTCATCAAAACATCCTTTAATTTTATAAAAGGCAAAACCAAACCCTCAAAGTTTTATATGACAATTTGAATTCATGATTCAAGCACATAACAAAGAAATTCCTCAAAATAAAAGAACTAGATATAAGGATGCAAAATAAAAGATCTATCAGTAAAACCCACTCTTCAAATTCAGTGCATGAAGGAAAAGAGGAAACAAAAATCCTTCAAGAAAAAAAATTGCAGTTGAATCATAGGAAGAAATGAACTTGCCTGCACTGTGGTCACATAAAAGTTTTGGCATTGAAAAAAATTAATATTCTTAATGTTCTCTGCATGAAGAAAAAAACACCCCAAAGAAGAAAGAAGGAATTAATTGTAGTTAAAGCAGGGATAGCCTGCAGGGATGGCCCAATTTGGTGAGAAAAGCCAAAGGGAGGCTGGAACAAAGAACCCAAAACAAAAAGCTTTCCTCAGCATCTCCCACATCCCAGTTTTCAATAAACCCGCGTGTCTGTTCTGTCCTGCCATGCTCAGTGCTGGGGAAACAAAACAACCCAGAAACAAAGGCAGTTTTCAACATCACCAGAAATGGGCCTAGAAGACAAAGTGAGACTTGCTCTTCATGAGGCAGCTTTCCCAAGGGATGCTCCCTGGGAGTTCCAGGTAGGTGCCCTCTGATGGGGACAAGGGAAGAAAGCTCAAACCTCCCCTAAGTTAGAAGTGTCTTTCTAATTAATGCAACATGGAATTAGCATTCATTGGCTTAATTTCAGCTCTGTCATTAGCACAAGCAAACAGCTGCAGTGGGTTGGATCCATGACCCACCTAGTCCATGGTCTGTGGACTAGGTATAGAGCACTACAAGTGGGCAGTGATGCCCAGTTTATCCCCTCAGCTCCATTTATGTACTGGTTAAGGGATTTCCAAAACTGGAAACTGTTATCTAAGCCATCATGTTCGATAATCTCCAATAAACCTCACTCCTTGGGTTGGACAGGCTGGTTTTTATGAATGCCTGTCCAATTATGAGCCATCATGATATATTTTCCTACTGTAAAAACAGTTAAGCAAAACTTCTTGGCCAGAAATATCAGCCAAGCCTGAGATTAAATAAGCTTGGGAAAATTCAGTCCGGATACACTCAAAAAATAAATACATCAAAATGCACGTGTCTCTGCTAAAACCCACAGTCTTTAATCAAAATTCCCACTGAAGTGAGTAGCGAAAGGTGAGTTGTTGCCAAAGTTCATAGTGAGAGCCATGGGATGAGAAGCAAAGCTCTGTCAAAAATGAGAAATTGCTAAGGAGAGGAGCAGGAGGAGCAGATTGGTTCTCGACACAGCAATCTCAGCCTGCCTTTTGAGGGAGCTCAAAAAGACACTTAAGCTGGTGCTCAGGATTCTGCTGAGCTGGGGCCTGAATAAATATTATTTATACTCTTATCACACAGAAATATGAATTCCATTGGTCAAGGGAAAAGAAATAAAAAAAGGGAGAGAGAGGACAGCAGCATGTACTGTTGTAGGCTCACAGAAGTACTGCAGACATCTTTGTTCTGCAGACTTCAGGGAGAGCGTTAAACAGGAAGAGGGACACTTTGGATTTTTACTTCATGGTTTAAACTGCTGGTATTTAGCTACACACACAACTCATGCCCTTGTGCAAAGCCCCAAACCAGCCAGTCTGTACAGACACAGCACCAAAGCAGCTCGGTCACCGATTGGGAAGGTTTAGCTGCAGCAACCCCAGAAGGTTTGAAATCCTGGGCCACCAAAGGGTTTGTGTTCTGCCACTCACTGTCACCACCACCTGGGCTTACAAATTCAAAGGCAACTGAACCATCTTCTACACCTGTGGCCAAGTAGCCCACAGGTCTGGGAAGGGAACAAACACAACAGCATGAGAAGTGCTTACAGCTTCACATTTCCACAGCCAGATGGAAAACAAAGTAAGAGCAGCATGTGTGCAGCCTGCCTGGACCTAGACCCATCTCCTACAACAACTCACTCCATTTTAGAAGAGGGTCTGGACAAACAAAAGTCTTTCTGCTTCAAAGGGAAGCCTCATAAGAAATTTTCCCACAGGCTGAGACCTGAATCATTCCAAACACTTTACTTCCAATCGCAGTAACAGAGTAAAACAGAAAAAAAATCATGCCATACCTGCTCCAAAGGCAAAGAAGAAGCTCTTGTCTCTGTTCTCCCTTAGAAGCGACATCACTCTTCTCCCCATCCTCTCATTCCTTTTGTAGATGAGCTCCTGTCTGAAGTAGCTGTCTATTTCCTGAGCTGTCACCTGCTCGTGGGGTGGGAGTGTTGTGTTGATGAAGTTTGGCACCTGAAACAGAGAGAGAGGCCACAACCCAGGTGGCATTGGTTAAGGAACCCACAAAACACTGCATGTTTTAATCCAGGCTTCTTAAAGCCACCACTATGACACAAAAAAACACTAGAGGATCAGAGCATGGGAGGCTGTTAGGAACTCTCAAAAAAAAAAAAAAAAGAAAAAGAAATTCCCAATGAATATACTCTCTTTAAAAAAAAGTGAAAGTAGTATTTTACTAAAGGAAACTTTAGTTAATTTTGATTTGTCTCTGTCCCTTCATGAAAATGTAGTTTCAGGTGTTACATTTGGGTGAGTTACTTGGACCTTTATTCTCTCCTGGTTAAAAAAAAAAAATCATTGGCTGCTTAATACCAAATTCCTGTGATCTGTTCTCAGCTGAGGTCACCATGAACTAAGCAAGGACTGTAAGATTTGGCTTGTATTTGTGGCTTTTTAAGAACCTAACAGTTTAAAGAGAGGAAAGTATAGCAAGTACAGACACAGAAGATGCACACAGGGTAAACCCCCTTATCTTTACATGCTTTTAGGTCTCACCAGAGAAGACCATGCATTACAACACATAAATCCCTGGAACATTCCTGATATATCTGAGGAAGCGACTTCCACAAGAACTACTCCTTCAGTCTCTGCTTTTGTGAAGAGAGATGTTCACTGACAGAAAGGCTGAAAGCTCAAGGACTTGGGTCAGGGCAGCAGACCCAGGAATGAGCCAACATCCAAGCTGTAAGGGACAGATAAGCCAAAAGTCTCTGATTATTAGGACAGCAACTTGTTTTGAAACAGTGAAAGTCCCAGGTTTACCACAAGGGTTTGGGAGCCCACGGGCCCTGCAGAGAGAAGAGCTGTAAGGGGGCAGTGTTTGATGGCTGCTAACAGGACCCAAGCACTTCTGGTGATTTTCTGTGCCTCACCACTGGAAAGCAGCTTAAACTGCAAACCTTAGGTTCAGATTTCTGAGTCCCTAGGTAAATGTAAAGCTGCCAGGATTTCCAATGTTAATCTGAGTCAGTGGTAATGACATTGTATGCACAGCCCATGAGGGGAACATCCCTCACTCACTGTGCTGAAACACTTGGTACAGCGACTCTGTTACTTGGGTTAATTCCATCTCTGGTTTTCTACTATACAAAATTCCTGTACTAATTTTCTAAAACTTGCCTTTGGCTTTTGTTTTTCAGCCCACTTCTTCCCGTTTCACTTGCTCACATGGCTTTATCACGACAATTTTTGTCTCTTCCCACCCTCTTTGCTTATACTGCTTCTCCAAAAGTTTCCAGCAAGTCTTAGGGAGAAAAACTGACTTCCATCTTCCCAGTGACTCTCCTTAAAACTTCATTGCAGCCCCACTGCATCTCTCCTATTATACATGAGGGATCGAGGAGGAGAGATTTCTCACCATGCATTATGAAGGATGAGTCTACATCTCACTGTGGATTCACAATAAAGGCTCTTCTCAGTTGAGTGAGACAGAAAAGGGGACCACATCTCCTGAACCAAGGAATCCTAAGGGGATGGAGATAACACTCCATGTAAGAGATCCTGCCTCTGCCTATTGGGCCTCACAGACCAGCTGGACCTTTGATTTTCCAAACTGCTTCTCAACCTGCTTTGCCAAATCACCATGCTTCTCACAGCACGTTCTTCTTTAAGGGTTCAGTCACATTATCCTGAGTCATTCCTTCCTCCAGGCTTTCCAGCATGGCTTGGCATCACCAGTGTAACCTGTGAACTCCTCAGAGCATGCAAGTACTTTGCACCTTGTTCTGTTTAGCCCTGAGCCAGCACTCAACAAGTGGTAACTCCCATTAAGTCAGACCTCTTGGAGACACCAGTTTCCTGTGAAAGCCCAAGGAAGTTACCTCTGTGTCTGACAAGAATATCTGTTTGCCTCAAAGGGATGGAGGAGCAGACTGACGTGTCAAAGAGATAAAATGCTGCTGGGTACAGCAGCAAAGAACATAGTGGCTTCCATTCCTGGTGAAAAACAGGGATAGATTTATATTGTAGGAATCAAGTCTGAGGAATGAGTAGCCATTTTACACTTGCAGTAACCTCTGTAATGCAAAGCCACAAATCAATTGGTCCATGGAGATTTCACAAACCTTTGCATCTCCTCTATACAGGCAAGAGTCAGGAAAGCCTTCAGGCACTGAAGTGGAAGGTGACATTTTGTGGAAGCATCCGAAGGCTCAACACCCACATAACGGAAATCTCTTCTTCCCTGCTTCTGGATGAAAGGAAGTGAAGGCTGGGACCTGGTTTTGAATCACTTGAGATGCTTTGGGGAAAGCAAGGTACAGCCTTGCCTGTGAGCACAACCTGCTCCTACACAAAGAAGGAACAGCAGTGCTGGGGGACCAAGCAGTCCCCCAGCTTTGTGCATCCCACTGGTGATGGAGGTCTAGATACCCAAAAAACAGATGTTGTATGAGGTCTTTGCCAAGAAGGGAAGCACCTTTCACCTCCTTGTACAACTCCATTTCTTGAATTCCTATATCCATATTTAACCTATAGTTCCTTCTCTTTATCTAACCTAAAATACAGTACACAAAACAGAGACATTCACTTGCCTTCCCCCCCCCCCCCCTTCCCTTTTTTTCCCTCTCTTCTGTGGGGAAAGTTTGCCAATGGCAGAGACATAAACTTAAAACCAAGGACTGGGTTTTGTCAATCTTTCTTTTGCTCACCCATGGAACAAGACAAAGGAAGGCATCATCTGGAGAGGCACAGCATCAGCTGCAGGTCCTGCTGCACTGCATGCACTCCTGCATTTCTGATGCCTGGCAAAAATAAAATCTCCACGTGTGTTTCAGTGTGTGTGTGGCAGAAGACAGAAGATAAATGACTGCAGTAAGTATGCCCCTACACAGTAGTGCAACCACACTCTGAGCTGTGACACTTGCCCCATTAATCACCTCTGCTCCTCCCTGTATCCAGGTCCTTTCCACAGTGACACACACCATGCCTGGCTTCAGGGAGACAGCTGCTGCTGTTGATTTAAGAAACCCTTAAACCAGACAGGGATCAGGAAGTCGAGAAACAGTCACACGCAATTAGGAAACTCTTAACTGGAGCCAGAATTTAAGTTTGGGGTTTTTTTTGGAAAAGAGAAGATCTGTTATTTTCAAAAGATGGGCTAAATATGCACCAAAAGGATGTACCTTCCCCCTTCTACTTTTATTTTGTTTTCATTCTCTGAAAAAATTAATTTTAACATTTTAATAATATGAATCTATTGGGTTTGATCTGAGGATGAATGACTGAGACATTTGCTGTGCCCCTGGTTGAGGGACTGATCTAATAATACCTGAATATTGCTACCAGTATTTAAATGTACAATGGAGTGGATTATGTGTCTATTGAAAAATCCAAACTTCTAATTTTGCTGTTCACCTAGGAGTGTAACAGCTGGATCAGGAGAAAAATGCATCACCTGGGATGTGCTCACTTCTAGTGGATACACATGACAAGAGATAAATAGATTCTTTACATCCAGTCTCTGCAAGCTGTGCAGTTTTCTGAGAACCCAACCAACTCATATTTTGTTTTACTTAATAAGGTAGCACTCCTTTTTTCTATTCCCATTTCCTTTAGGTTACAGCTTTCCTATGGACAGTACAGACAGACCACAAACTCAGCCATTAGGTACACTCTGCACTTATAAGTTAAACTTTTAAGGTTAAAGAAAGGGACTCTGAGAATAAAAAAGAAATCCCAGTCTTACAAAAATTTCTTCCCCTCCCCATTGTCTGTGTAGTTTTACTTGAGTCAGTGTCCCTGATGGAATATATGTGTGGATGAAGCTCTGTACACACGTCTGAGCTCACAGTGCTGTGGGATGTGGGCCATAATTCTTCACCTTTGAAGTCAGTGGGAGCTTTAGGGAGAAGAAAGAGGAAGGATTGTGGAGTGGTTATGACACTACCCTGAAAAAATGGTTCTGCTCCCATGGGTGATACAAATCTCTTACATGATCACAAGCATGTCATTTGGGTTTAAACCTTCAAAGGAAACTCAGCACTTAACCTCCACTAAGTGTCTTTGAAGCATTTGGCTTTATTCCTCCTGTGTCTCAAAAGTCCATCTGTAAAATGGGGACAGAGACTTTTCTAAAAAGACTTTCTACCTTGATGTTACATACAAGGCACTGGCTCAGTCTAGCTCTGGAGGGACCCAAAGGAAGACCCAAAGTCCAACACAATGCTCAGCAGTAACCTCTCTTCCTATAAATTTCCACAGAGGCTTGGATTCTGCTGCAGTCATTAGCATAAGAGCTAACAAGATACTTTAGCTTAGAAAAATGCACCAGCCATAACTCAAGATCTATGCTATGCTTTCAGCTCTGTCTGTAGAGACAGAGAGAAAAAAAAGAGAAAAAAGAAAGAGAAAAGCAAAATATATTGGTGCAGAATCTTTTATCACTTTTAGGGCTTACTGCCAAAGCTGAAAATTCATGGACACAGGACTACATTAAAAGTCCATTTTTAAAATTTACTATTTTTTTAATATTTGGACAAATATTCTGGGGAGAGGCACAAAGCCAGAGTTGTGAACATCTATCTGCAAATAATTTTTTTTGGACACACATAAGCACCATCATCTTTGATTACATTTTTTTTTTACTTTGGATTTATTATCTACATTGGAACTGGCCTAGACTCAGTCCAGTATCAAATCATTATCATATGTGGAGTAACAGTGTTATCGTTCCTACTCCTATGCACTACATTTCCCAACCCTCTGATAACCTTGTTTAGCCTCATTTTGTTCCAGTGATGAGACTATTTCTGGAATGTGAATTCAAATTGTAATATTACATTAATCAAAAAATAACATTACCAACAATAGAATAAAGAGCTGTGTGCCTTTCCTCACCAGCTTGTGCACAGAGGTGATCTTCAACCATAATTCTACTTGCAGATGGAAAAGAGGAAGCTGAGATAGGGAAATGGGAAGCCAACCCTGCCATGAAACATACAGTGATCCTAAAA